GTTACTAAATCTCATTGCCCTTGGTTAACTGTAACTATTAGAGATATGATAAAACTACGTGACAATGCGTTTTGCAGATATAAGTTGTCCAAGACTCAAAATAACTGGACTTATTACAAGCAAATTCGCAACTATGTCACTGGTGCAATCAGGCGTGAAAAGAAAGCTTATATTCAATTTTCCGTGCGTCAAAAAAATAGCAAAATATTATGGAACACTTTTAGAGAGTTAACTGTTATTGAAAATAAACGATCATCTGATCTTCCATCTATATTTAATGATGTAAACTCAGTAAATTAATTTTTTAATACTATCCTTAGTGTCAATAAAACCCAAGTTTGCATTGATATGTTGTCAAAATATGATCGTCCATTAAACGTAGTGAATGATTTTAAGTTTTCCCCAGTCCAACCCCATGAAGTTGTTAAAGTAATTAATAAATTAAAAAGCAATTCTGTCGGTTCAGATCAGATTTCGTTAAGAATAATTAGAATGATTTCATTTCATTTACTACATCATATAACCAATATCTTAAATACTGCAATTGCAACCAACAGTTTCCCTTCTAATTGGAAGGATGCATATATCATACGTCTAGCCAGTCTCGAACCCTACTGAATACTTGCATCTTAGACCCATCAGTCTATTACCTACTATGTCAAAAATTTTAGAATCAATAATGAAAGGTCAAATCTGTTCTTATGTCTTTAGCAATAAAATAATACCTGCAGTACAATCCGGATTTCGTGCACAACATAGCACTACGACCGCTCTTTTAAATGTTACTGATGACATATTACGTGCCACTGATACCCAGAAATTAACGTGCCTCGTGTTATTAGATTATAGTAAGGCGTTTGACTCTTTGGAGCATGACTTACTCTGTAGAAAGCTAAATTTCTTTGGATTTAGTATTAATGCTGTCTCTTTTATACGTAATTATTTAAGTAATCGTGTTCATAGTGTTTCACTTAATTCTGAGATTTCTAGCCCATTACCGCTTAGATTGGGAGTACCTCAAGGCTCCATATTAGGACCCTTGTTATTTTCAATTTATATATCCGACTTTCATACATTTATAAATAGCTGTAATATACATCATTATGCTGATATACGCAGATTTACCACTCATTTAGTTTTGATCAATACAATGCTGCAGAACAGTTGATTAGTTCTGATCTGAATTCACTACATAATATATCACTGGCCCATAATTTAAAATTGAACGCTAATAAATCTGCTATGATACTTTTTGGGTTCAAGGCAAAAAGACATATCATTCGTCATAGAATAAATATCAAATTGAATGATGAGGCCTGCAGTCGATAGCTGGAAAAATTTAGGTGTATGGATCGACTCTGATTTGAGGTTTGTTAAACATGTTAATTATCTGTCCAAATCAAGTCATAATATCCTCAAAAAGCTTTACTCTCAAAGACATATATTAGACTTTAAAATAAAATTGCAACTTTGTGAGACACTCATTTTCTCAAAATTGTCATATGCCGATACTGTTTATGGTCCTGCACTATTGGAACGCGATGCCAATAGATTACAACTATTACAAAACGCATGTCTTCGATTTGCTACAGGACTGCGTAAATTTGATCATGTGAGCAATAAATTTACTGAAGTTAATTGGATGAAACTCGATAAACTGCGTGCTATTCATGGTTTTTGCCTCGTACATAAAATTTTAATCATGCGTACACCTGAATATCTATTCAACAAACTTATACTTCTGTACTCGAATTACACTAACACGAGAAAGAAGCACTTATTACTTATACCTAAACACTCGTCTGCCACTATGAAACGTAGTTTCTCATATACATCTAGTAAGTGTTATAACAACTTGCCTCCACAATTCAGACATTACTCAATTTTTAATTTTAAAAAGAAAATAAAAGAATTTGTGTGTCATACGGATAGGTAATTATCAGGAAACGGATTCTGCCAGGTTTCGGACTTCACTTGGGTTCATTTATTTATTTATTGTTAGCATTTATTGTTAGCATTTTGTTATTATTATTAATGTATTATTAAGGTATAATTAGTATTTTCTGATTTGTTCTTTATTAGGTAATGTTTCTCTGTGTTTTTTATTATGTAATTTTTGTTATTGCTACAATTATTGTATAAATTTAAATTAATTTAAGGTTAAGTTGAAAAGCAGCCTTGGCTGATACTTCACCTTTTCATTGTATACTTACTGACAATGAATAAAGACCATTTATTATTATTATTATTATTATCATTATCATTATCATTATCATTATCATTATCATTATCATTATTATTATTATTATTATTTAATTTTAGTAGCAACTAACTTTTTGATGCGATGTAGATTTAACTAAGAAAAACATATTAACATAAACCAATGCAATTAAATTAGACATATCTACAGGGTGTGGCGTGTATAATCTATAAAAATTAGTATACAGCTTCCTAACGATATTTGTAATGAAAAGTCATGTGAAAAAGTTCTATTTTGCGTTTTTTTTTTCTTAAATTAAAGTTCAATTAATCATAGATCAAAATATTTTCTCTGGAACGGTCCTGTCCGTCTGCTATACGATGAGATAGAAACATACTTCTCAATTTTTGGGGAATTTTTTAATGCAAAAGTATAAACTAAGAAAAATAGATATTTAAAAAAACTGATATTTTCTTATTATAACAATTAATAATAATTCCTAACTTAAATGCATTGTGCTACAGGAATAGTTCGCAAACAAAACCACATCCGTAAGCATCTGTAGTTGCCAATTGCGTGCACTAAACAAACTCCATTAAAATATAGAACAAAATGAAATAAAACTTATCATTTCTAGAGAAAATGTTGAAATTGATCCCCATTAGCGCGGATACAGACATGACACCGACGCACCCAATTTTGGCGAATATTTTTATAAATTCTAGATGTTGCCCTAATTGCATCAGCAGCTTCAAGTATACGGTTTCGCAATTCTTCCACCGTTGCAATTGGAGTATTGTAAACTAATGACTTCAAGTGACTGCAAAGATAAAAGTCCATTGGAGTTAGATCGAGTGACCACGCTAGCAACGGCACAGGACCAACGCGTCCAGTCAATCCCTGAGGAAGCATTTCGTTCAAAAGTGTCGTTACTTCTCGAGTACTGTGTGGATGGGCCCCATCTTGAAGATAAAACATGTGTGCCAGAACTTGTAATGCCACATTGTCCAATAATTGAGGCAACCGGTTCTCCAAAAAGTCAGCATATGTTGGTCCATTTAGTCGTCCGTCAAAGAAATTGGGACCCACAAGTTCATCGCCTATTATGCCAGCCCAAACATTTACCGAGAACCGATGTTGAAAATGAGTTTCCCTAATCGCGTCAGGATTTTCATCGGCCCGTATGTGTATATTATGGAAATTCACTTCATCACGGGTAAATGTCGCCTCATCTGTTACACAAACATAAGCAGGAAAGTCTACTTGATTGGCACATTGCCATAAAAGCCATCTGCAAAAACGCATTCGGGTTTAAAATATGTTGAACTGGTTGCAGATGATAGGGGTGCAACAGCTGGCATCTTAAGATGCGATGTACGGTACAAGATAAGGTTCCTACTTGCTGGGCGAGTCGTCGAGTACTAATTGTGGGGTCTTCGTCAAGATTTTCCAACACTGCATATTCAACATTGCTGACCACACTTTCGGTATCTCACAATCACTGAACGCACTGTAGAATTGTATTTGCACATGGGGGAGGGGGGGTGACACTGTGGCCATCGTTCCCGGTACAACCTAGTCGCCGCGAGCGCATTTTCTCCGGCTGCACCATACACTAATACCATATCGACACGGTCGGAAATGCATTGTTTCCTCTGTTCATTGTAAAACTAGTTTGTGCACAAACTAGAATATTAAGCAAAGTAAGAAATAAGAATCTCGTTTTTAATGTTATCTGCACGCTATTCTTATTTTTTACTTCTTTATAAAAATTACACTGTCACTATCGTGGAATTACAAAATAAAAACTTTTGTCTGAAATCTTTCACTTTTTAATAGTGATGGGTCGATGGACGATGATTAATATTTAATAATTAAGTGAATAATGAATTCAATACAAATACAAAATCAGTTGACTGCACAAATTTTTTGTGCCTAACCTTCTTTTAGTATTACTGGTATTAGATTATACCGACTTAAATTATAAGCGAGATGCAAGCTTGGGCCGCATAAAAGCATTTCCAAAGTTTTTAATTAATAACACAGGGTCGGCCTTCATTTCCGTTAAACTTGAACTAATTTACAAAAAAAAAAAAAAAACGCGAAGATAGAACTTTTTCGTATATGACTTTTCTATTACAAATATCATTAGCAAGCTGTAGATTAATTTTTATAGATTCTACACGCCACACCTTAAATATTTATATTTATATATAGAAAAGCACTTACCTAACAGAAAGTCTAGACCAATTCGTTAATTCCTAATCTGAAAAATGTTGTCAACTATTTTAAAATTTTCTAAATTTAAATACTTCTCACTACACTAATGTAAAAGCAAAATTGAATTCAGATATAATTATTAATTTTCAGGTATGCACCCGTTTTCAGATAAACCAATAATATCAATGGCAAATTAAAAGTTAATTTAAGTATAATTAATTGCTGTCGATTAACTACCATTAAATATATTTTTGCTGCACGAAGAGTAAAATAACTGCAGGTGGTTTATGATATATTACAAATTTGGTACACAGTTATATGGATTTATTCTATCACAACAAATTGCATGTGTCTGATGGTCAGCTCCGGCATAAATTGATATATTGCTGTCGTTACATAAACCAAAGACAAATAGCTATAATAACATCGTCTGACACTAACAACTAGGTTTATAAAAGTTGTACAACTATACTGATGAACTAACTGGGAAACGATTTATAGTACGATATAACTTTTAGATTTCTCCATGTCTTATCTGTAACTTACAGAATAAATTCGTAAAATTAATACCTTACACAAATTATCTTTTCTGATTTTCTTTAATAAAATATTTGGAATTACACGTCGCATTTCGATTTGTACTCGAGATAGCGCTATTAGCAAGCTTTAATTCTTCCATGTAATTAATTAAAGACACCTGGCTATCTGAGACATCATTAGACACATCCTTTTTTTCACATGTATAGGTTCTACAGGATTCTGCATCATTTATGTAGCAACTCAGCATATTTTGATCATCTTTATCATCCTCAACTTTGCTCCCACTATTTACTAAAGTTTCTAATATCTTATAAGCATCGTTCACTACCTTAGAGGAATAACCGTTTTTATATATATTGAGCACACCATTACAAGCTACTCCGTTCTTATATCCATTCGCTTTCCCAATGCACTCTTGCTCGTTTTTATTACAATAACCGTTCTTTTTGGAATTAGCTGTTTTACATTTGTCTTGTTTAGTCTTTTTCTTCACATCGCCTGCTGCAGAGATGCTCTTCTTTGCCTTTATTCCGATTGCGCTTATTATTGTTTTCAAAGTGGAGGATTTTTCATCAGTCTTCGTGGCGCTTTGAATTTCCTCCAATTTATGTTCCAATACTTCATTACGCTTTTCTATTTCTTTACGTTTCTGTATTTCAGCCTCTAATCTGGAGTTTAGTTCTAAAACTTTGCGTTCGTTCTCGTTCAATTGGTTCTTTTCTTTATCTGTCATTTTCGTAACATTTTGAACTGTTTTAGATTTCCTTACTGGTTGCACAAATGTCGATGTGCTGTTTTTTGATAAGTTTCCCATTGGCGCTGATTTAGTTTTATATAAGTTGTTCACAGCAAAAGAAAACTTGGAAGAAGAATCATGAAGTGAGTTCCAAGTGAGGGAAACTGCGGTATTACCCCACTGATATTCTGGTGGGTGTCCAAACTGTTTTTCTCTCAACAGCTGTAGAATCCTGTTAACTGTTGATATGCACATCATGTCATTTTGTCTCAAGTCCACTATTTCTAAGGATTTGTTATATTCGACTACATTTATGGTTTTACTCGATATATTTTCTGTTATCCCACACCTTTGTACATCTAATGCCTTTATCCAAAGATCATCCTCCAGCTCGTCTAAAATATAATTAAACCCATTGTCTCCTAAATCTGGGTTACAATTAATAGTAATTCTTTTAATTCCTCGCATAACTCCAGACATTGGATCTTCGTAACGAAGGGAGTTGTGCCAACTCTCACAGTATCTGTTAATCTGTTGATACTTTATTAATTTGGCTAACTGTTCGCCACTTTTTACAGTCAAACCACATCCAGAAAGATTGATTACCTCAACGTTTGGCGTAAAACGTAAATAAGCACAAACCAATTGGCAACCAACATCTTTTATTGGACAGTTGGCAAAAGATAATGATTTGATGGTTTTATTTTTCTTTAAAGCTTGTAACAGCGGCTCAAGGTAATCACTAAACATAGGTAAACCATCTAGTTCCAGGACTGTTAGAACTTCAGTGTGTCTTAGTGATATAGACAGAGATTTGGTTAGCTGTTTCAATATATACGCTGTCCAAAGTAAGCCAAAACGCCTCTTCATGTGTCTGGCCTTCTCTTCGGTGTCAATATCTTGCAAAAACTGACAATTACCTATTCTACTCTTGATCTGAATAACATGAAGACTGGTATCGTGACGAAGGGCACTGATGATGGGATTCCATTCTTCTAGCCTAAGACGGTCGGCCACGAAGTCTAAGACAGTCTGGCATTTGGGCTTGGCAGGTTTGACGGCGGGTGCAGGAGTGCAGTTTATACGGCGACATAGTTCGGTGTACCATACGTAGAACACATTAATGGGTTTCGGGTTGGTTCTAACCGACGATTTGGATGCATCCATTTTCAAGTAATAATTTTGGCGAAATTGTACTTACTTAACAATTAAAAACAAACAGCATTTTACAAATCTTGACAAATATAAAATTATTTTGACGTTTTGACACCACCTGAATAATAATTTGACAGATGACGATTGAATGAAACAAAATATTGGCCTTTATGCAACTAGCCATTGCCAAGTCTTACAACGAACTGTTTCTTGTTATTTAGAAACATAATTTAAATTGTGTTACTTTAGATACTGCTATTAAAATTTTGATTTTATTACAAATTACAATTTGTAAAGGGAAAAATAAATTGAAACAAAATTAAAATGACAGCATTAACACTAACGCTCTCTACTTTCCACATATACCTATTAGTCCAGACGGTATCTGTTTGAAAAAGCCATATTTGGGTGAATCGTATATCCACGGAGATTTTTGGCTTTTTGGCTTTCAAATATCACTAGAAATGAAATTTTTTCTATGCGCATAAAAAAACGTGGGCTTAACTTTTGGCGGCACAATATGTTAAGAAAATTCGAAAAATGTAATATTTTTCTTCCTATTTAATTATGTATATTTTCAATAGTTGATTTTAGGCGAAAATGGAAGAGGAAAAAAATGTTTGTAATTAATTTTTTTACAAAACATGACTAGTTACAATTCGAATGAATCATGATTAATATGGTAAAAATCGAAAAAATCGCAAAAATGGGGTTAAAAAACAATACTTTTTAGGGATTTTTTTGGAGTATTTAAATTGGGTATAGGACCTTTATACTTGGCTAAAGAAAATTTCATGTTATGTGGAATCATCACACCAAATTACATCAAAATCGGTTCCATAGATTTTGCATAATAATATTGCAACCCAGATTTTGAAAAAAAATTGCAAATTTTCAAAATTTTGCACAGCAAAAACAAAGGCCCTTGGATGCTTGAAAATTTAATCATATATAGAAGGGCTCTCAAGATTTCAAACTTTTTTTGAAAAATTCGAATCCGTCAATTAGGAGAGCTTTGGCGCTTGTTTAAACATTGGTCGAATTTTTGTACTTATAAACAATTAGAATAACTTTGTTCAATTCAATCAAATCAAATTTGTTAAACCATGTTTTAAAAGCTCTTGGAAAGACGCTTCTTTAAAAAAAACAGATCGATTGGTCACCCCAAAAAATTCCCAAAAAAAGTATTGTTTTTTTAACCCCATTTTTGCGATTTTTTCGATTTTTACCATAATAATCATGATTCATTCGATTTATAGCTAGTCATGTTTTGTAAAAATTTTAATAACAATCATTTTTTTCCTCTTCCATTTTCGCCTAAAATCAACTCTTGAAAAGATACATAATTAAATAGGAAGAAAAATATGACATATTTCGATTTTATTTAACATATTGTGCCGCTAAAAGTTAAGCCCACTTTTTTTTATGCACATAGAAAAATTTTAATTTCTAGCGATATTTGAAAGCCAAAAAGCCAAAAATCTCCGTGAATATACGATTCACCCAAACCAAAACAGATACACCTAGTCTATATGTGATTTTTATAATCAACAAATTTTCATTGAAAAAAAAAATGAATTTTTATTACTTACATTTACAGAAGTCTTAGCGTAAAATGCTCATGGTTTTTCATAAAACTTAATTTATTTAAGAAATACTTTCAGGTAAACCACCTTGACCATTTCAAGGAATCTCAAAATCGATTTTTAAATGGTTATTATTGCTTCATTATATTTTAAAAAATATTTAACTTTAAATATATTTTTAGAAGCTGAGTAATGAATCATAAACGAACAGATCCGGAATATGCTTGTAAGTAATTTTTATTATTATATATTTAATACGTAGGGTATTTTCCAAGTCTATGCCACAACAGCAGAAAATTGGTCGTAAGAGAGAAAAAATAATAATTTCTTAAAATATAAAATCTATATACCTGAATCTTCTTACATAAACAACTTTTTAAAAGCATAATTGCATTTAACTAAAGTTAACTAACAATAAGTCTTTTTCTGTTTTCTGTACACAAGTAGTTAGTCACATAAATGTAATGAAAATGCAATATATTTGCTAAAGTTAACGCTTGCGCCATCTCTCACTGAATTACGAAAACTTCTTCCTTGGACAAACTGAACAAAAATTATCAACCTAATATTTCACTTCTTAGTTGAAGAATTCAGAATACATTGTTAAAAACTTATTTGCGTCTATGTATTTTTCCTAATGTATATGAATTTTCCTCCAGAATTAAATGTGGTAAACTGTTACAGCCTTTAGAGTTGCATTTACAGTTTTCTTTTAATACATCAGCAGTATTCTACACACACCATATAAGCGTTACGTAATATTACGATAGATGTCAGAAGTAGTTGGAACAGTTATCGTTTTAAAATTACTGATCTCGTCAATACTATTGTAGCGTTATTTATGTTTATAATGTACCATTGAAACTGGCATATTGTGTACGATGTATGTTATATAATGTAGCAATGAAACAAAAAAAAGGGGAAAAGACTGTAGAAAAGGGATTTGTTATAAACATTGCGTGCCATCAGAAGCGTATCTGTTTTTTATTTTATGGGTAAATATATTATCGATAAAAATATAGATAATACTTACTAAATACGAAATAAAATAAACTTCCACGTTTTCTTTAAAATTGTCTAATATCGTAGATATTTATTTATTTATTGTTACTAGAGACGCACCTTTCAAAAAATAAAAATATCAGATGTATTTCTGTGAAACCGTATATCTACGTCTTTGCATCATAATTTTTAATGTCAAATTTTAAATAAAAAAAATGAATCAATATTTTCAAGCAAAAGTTTAGCGTTTATAACAAACAAATAAATCAATTGTAAGGTTTGCAGTTTTTCCTAAGGGGAAATAAAGGGTAGAAATCATTTGTCGATTATTACGTTGACATGTGAATATTTGTTATCTGTCTTGCGGGTGTAAATATATGTGTAACTATAGGAAAACGTAAATGCCTCAGACAAATATCTGACATGGCCTCTTGTCGTAGCAGATCAAGACTTCTATCTAGGTACTTAATAAATGTATCAATGATTACTGAGTATATCAATGTACTTCGCTTCTATTTGTAATAATGACCATGTCCATTTAACATTAGACATATACAGTGTGTGATATGTCTACTGCACAATCAATAAGCAACTGTGATACTACTTCTTATCACCAAACTCTTTTATATACTAAACATCTAAACAAATCTAAGCATATTGTGGTCAACTCAAGGTGTGCAATGTAATATGTAATTTTGTGAGTTTGCCCACTAATCCACAAGTACAGGTGTTAATGAATGCAAAGAAAATACTCACAATGCACCCCACTTGAATACCATGACAAATACATCACAAGACACGTACGAAAACAGCCATGGATCTCTACACTGTCAGTACTGACGATCAAAACAGTAAAGTGTCTTAAATGCATAGACAACTTATTCACATCAAATGTCATTGAACTAATTAGTAATTAATTGGCCAATCAATTGTACAGATTAGCACCGTAATTCATAATATCCATTCAACAACAGTTACTAACACAAAATAATTCTTTCTATAACAACAACTCTTACTCAAATGACAGTTTACTATGCTATGAAAAGAACACTTACGTAAAAATTTCTTCAAAAAGAATATGCAATCTAATTAGTGATGCTCGTCAAATCAAATATCTAACTTCTCAATAAGTCAATACACAGTCAATACCTAAAGTGATATCTTTTCAAAGATTAGGTAAAAGGGACTCTGTGAAATTTGTAAACTAAACAAAACTAATGGGTATCAACTTACCGCTTGAGTTGTTTATAAATACCAGACGCCTACGCTGAGGTGAATATGTCCTAATACAGGATATAGCAAGAAATACTATCTTGCACAATATACAGGGTGTCCCATAAGCACATGATCAAAAAGGTACTGCGACGTTCTTTGGCTCAAAAGAAGACGATTTGACCTAACTTTCATTAAGAAAAAATGTCTGGTTCCTCTCTATTGACTGTCAAATTTCTTGAAAAAAAAATGTTTTTTGTAATATCTGGAGAATGTTACGATGGATTTTAATGAAACTTGCTATGGACTTGTTCCTAAGTAAAACTCATGTTTTGGTGAAGCAACCGCGTCCATCTGCCTTGGGCTAGTGTCTTGACGTGAGTGAAGAATTACCAGAACTTTTTATTTGGTCGCTGGAATTAATTCATTTTATTTAATATTGATGCATCAGTCCTTTTTCGAGATTTTCGTGCTCTTGGTAAAATCTTGTAACATTCATAGTTTTTATGCAAAAAATATGTTTTCAATTTCAGACAATCATTATCACTACTGCTCAAGCACAACAACTACTCACTACAATTACTATTATCCTAGTAGTAAGCGATGATGTCATTTTATAATCAATGATGAAATGTCAATCAATTCGTTTCGAATGGCGTTTTATAATGAAGAGATGACCCACTGATCAAAGTCTTAAGCGATGTTTTGTTAGAGCTGTACGCGACGCAAAGCAGACAGTCAGTTGTGCGCGTCGGACTTACGTTGGAATCTAGAACACAAGAAGATGCGTAGCCGGTTTGATAGATTCTGCTCAGGTGGACTCACGGTAGGCAGAAAATTATGTGCGTCGTCGGTTCAGTCGAAATCAAATTTAATTTGATTTCAACGAAGTCGTTCAGATGAGCTCACAGCGTACAGCTTTTATTTTTAACGAATTTTAAAATGGCAACCAAGTTTTCACCAAAGGAAGACGAGACATTAATTGATCTCGTACGATACATCTCCCATTGTATATGTATACCATCCTTTCCAAACATCTGTTAGAAAACATTCGAGCTTCACCTTTATTTTGACGACGACAACTAATTAAATTCAAAAGATCTTCTTCATGTTCTTCTTCCTCAATAAGTATTGGCAGCAAAAAATGTTCAGCCATTATCATGATAAAAATAAATTTTGCCAAAATAATATGAAATAATTTCGTCTGCATTTACCAGCATACAATCATAAGCACTAAATCTAACAAAACACCCCCCTTCAAAACAGATAAAGTTGAACGCTACAGATTGTGCTAACCGCGTATGTCGTCTGCGACGCACAGTTCTAACAAACCAAAGCTTTAGGGTTTTGCGAAGACAACTTAGGTGGGAGTGTATGCGGCTACGCGACGCGATACCCAAATCGAAGAGTTCCAAATTACCGATTTACATGGATTGAAAAGAGTTTGCGGGAGACTGGGAAATTTGGTGTTCGAGCCGTTGACTGTGTGGGTCGTCCTCAAGTACGAAATGCAGCAGTTGAGGGAGACGTTTTAAATAGGATCGCTGAAGATCCAAATATCAGTACTCGCCGTCTGACAGTGGAATTTGGCGGACCAAACAGTACAATTAATCGAATTATAAGACAGCAGCTTCTCCATCCTTATCATGCGATGTCTATTCAGGAGCTTTTACTATACCATTTTGAGAGAAGACTTCAATTTCGCCCCTTTATTTAAGGAGCGTCGGCACGTGATCCAAATTTTTTTTATGCAGAAGAAATCCCTCATGTGAGGCGTATTAACCACTTTTAGGTGGAATTTCCAATAAATGTTTGGGCCGGGATCATCGGTGACATCCTTCTGGGTCCTTATGTCAGGCCGCACCGCTTGACTAGAGAAAATTATTTCAATTTTTTGACGAATACTTTTCCGGTTCTAATGGAAGATGTCCTTCTCGATCTTCGTACTCAGATGTGGTTCATGCACGATGGTGCTCCTCCGCAGTTTAGTGCACATGTAACTGCACATTTAAATAATACTTTTCCACACAAGTGGATCGGAAGAAGAGGGAGAGATGTTCCTGTCGAATGGCCCCCCAGGTCCCCCAACTTAACGTTGTTAGATTTTTTTCTATGAAGAGCCTTGAAGAATAAATATCGCAGTACCTTTTTGATCATGTGCTTATGGAACACCCTATATATTGATTCTATGGTTGCTTTATTTATCATCCATCGTTTATGACTTGATGTATTTAAGTTAGAAGATACTATATACTTATGTATTTTTGACAAAAGAATATTTTGTGTTGGAAACAATTCAACATTTACAACATTTTTTCTTATAAATAAATATTTGAAATTACTGCTTACTGTTCGTTATTCCAGGTATTATGATATAAATAGTTAGTAAGTAGTATATTTATCTTTATAGTAACCGCGTTTTGTTGTTTCTGACTTACTGTAATTACTGAAGTTAGGTACATACAACAATCTCTAACTTATGAAAATGATAGCTACTAAAATGTCATGACACTGTTTATTTTATCACAAAGATATGGAATTATAAAATTTAAATATTTCACATCCGTTAATATCCAAAGACTTATAGTATTAGGTTGAATATTCAAGGTATATTTTTTACAACTTCCAGCATTATAAGAAGTTATAAATAATGTGATAATCACTGAGCCTTCTTCTGGTATATAACGTTTTGTGGATCTCATTTAACCATTCTGTTCATCTGTAAAGATATATATTAGTCATCAGGAACGATTAAATTGGAATAAATTGGATACTAACCCTTAGCAGAGAGCAACTGTAACCACAAGCACTTCTGTATGATTTCCCTCCAAGTATTCTGCATCTCTTCTGTTTTTGCCTCCAATTGATACTCGATATCGTTTTTGCTGTACTTGCTATGCGTAAAGTCTTTAAGTAGCAGCTTCTTTTTGTTGTGGGTGAGAGGTGCCAAACTTAGGTTACTTATTTTTATGCTGGCGTAATAGTAATATGTTTCTTCCTTTTTATGTTCCTAGAACAATATGTGCGTAACATATTTCAGACAGTTTTAAAGGTTATCTAAATCCAGAATCAGTTGTAGTAACTGTTTAAATTAAATATGATAAAATAGGTAGGCATCTACAGGGTGTACCGTCAGATTTAAAAATCAGTACTGAGCAGAAAAAAAAACATTATCTCATAAAATCTTTTTCAGTGTCATCTTGTAAGTCTAACAGCTTTTTAAGATAATACTTTATAAACTTCAACATTACTTCAACCTTATTTTGATTTGCTTTATTATTCATTCAAAAGCACTTTCTGAATATGAATGTGCTTGTATTTGTAAAACTTAAAGAGGATGAATATAATTAATCGTGCTATTTTTAGTGCTGTTTCGATTGAAAAAGTATTGTTATTATGAGTAATCTCTTTCTAGTTTTGATAAAAAATTAATCAAAACAACAAATTATAACATCTATAATCTGTTTTTTAATAAGACTTACTGTCGTTTCAACTATAACTTATATGTTGTGCACCATCATAATTATCATTAACATTTTTATTACTTTTCGATTCAGGGAAAAAGTGTAAGGTTAAAAGTCGTCGGAAACTATTTTCATTTTTGGATACCTAAATAGTATTTGAAACATTATCTGAAGTTACTTATTTCTTAAAAAATAATAATTAATTCAATAAAACCTTGCACCAAAAAACTACATATGTTCATAAAGGATAATCCTTGATACTGATCCTTTTGACAGAAGAGGTTTTTCTAAATTTTTTAAATTATTATCACTGGTGGAAAAATACCCGATAAATAAAAAAAACAAAATAGTATGTAAGCCGTAGGGCATGGGCTTAAAATGTTTTTTTTTTTAATAGAATTAATACAATCTGTACGATATTTGTTGAGATAGAATTTTAAGAAGACCCCTGCGTGCTTGGAATTAACCGCATTCGACACTCGAGGTAGAAAGACGGTGTGGCGTTCACCGTAGCAGTCTCAAAATATACTAGTGTCGTATATATGAGGTATGGTAGTTTGGTTATATTTTCATTGGAAAAAATGTTTTGAAACGTTTACGTAATGTAGAATTTATTTAAATGATTTTACAAAATATTTTTAAAATGACGTGTCTGTGCCTCAATATTCTGTTAAATACATTTTTGTATATATTTTCCTACTCCTTTAAAAAAGTGAGGGTTAATATGTAAATAAGAAAAGACTCAAACTTGAACGAGGATAATACCTACCTACTTTCTTTATTTTTGACATGTTAAAGTCTAACATCCTGTATAATTTTAAATTTATCTACACTAATCTAATTTGTACAAAACCTATAAAAACTATGCAAAAAAGTCAACAAATCATTTTTACTCGAAATTTGTATTTTGTATTTTAGAAAAGAAAAAAAAAATAGCGCGTTATAATTTTTGAAAAAAAATGTAACCAGAACGCCTTATGAATACCCCACTAGTTTTAGGTCATACCAAATTTCATTCCGATAGTTTCATTTGTTTAAATCCCAAAAAGCGGTGTTGCTTTGAGAACAAGTTTATCTGGCAAAGTGCCATTATTTTTACTTACTAAATTTCCTTGGTTAAAATTCGCGGTACATAATTTAGTAAAGTCAATAATATTTTTTACAGTGTAACTAAGTTCTGTTCAACATATTAGTCTTACGATATTTTCGTTTGGTCATATCCCTCTTGCTTTTAGAGACAGTTCATCAAACTTTATGCCGCTGCAATTGTAAACGCTCAATATAAATATGTAAAATATGCAATTCTCCTAATAATAAAAGAAAAAGTAATATTGCCTTTACATTGTCCAAAATAAGTGTAAATGAACATAACATATTTTAAAAAATATGCTTATATTCACTCAAAAAAAAATTAATTAAAATAATTTAAAATTAACAATAATAATCATCCACTAAACTTCATGATTTAGTTATTCATTCTTATTAAAAATATGGTAACTAAAAACATGTCTTAAGCTATTTATAAAAAGGTATTATATATTTAAGTACTTACAGTGGTTAAGATCATTATTTTTTCAAACAAAAACACTATCAGCTTCTTTTTCTTGGGTTTCCTTAATTTAAATTTGTCTTTCATCAGTAATTTGCCATAACCAGATACATCGAATGGACACTCTTGTATCGAATTACATTCCAACGAAAAATTTTCTCTGTTAACTTCGTTTCTGTGGAAATTAGTAGGCTGGGAAATATAACTCAGTCCCGTATCCGAAACATTATCCTCTGTGCAATATGCAACAAACGACTGAGACTTGTTTTTTCTTACACTTGACCTTAGTTGTTTCCATAGTCTATTACTAAACGAATTTCTTCTGTTAGTCGTCTCAGTCTGTGCTGTCGCGGTGCCTTCCATACTAATATATAAATTTTCTGAGCGTCAGCATCCGTCACTGTATGTCAAACACCATTATTTTGCTTACTTGTATAAAAATATGTCTCAAGTTTCTTATCTTATCTGTTTATTACGCTGATATAATGTTATAAATTAAGGGCTTATAATTGCCGCAACATACTACAGTTCGTTTATAAGCATTGGCTTGGTCTTCTTTTAGACTGCATTGTAATTTTTTATATACTGGCTTTTATATATTTTTTTAAAATTAACATTAAAACAGCAAATTATCTAATGCAACTGCAACTTTATCTTACAATCGCCATTTTAAACTAAGAATTCACTTAATTTTTTCTGTAAATTAACTTTTATTGGGATTAAAAATATTCTCATAAAAGTATTATGTGGTATTGTGGAACGAGTTTTCCGATAATTCTTGTAATAAAAACCCTATAACAACATAGTTTTTTACCTCCAATAAATTTTCTTTCCAATAAACTTTTAGTTTTGAATTTAACTAAGAGAGTAGGATAATTAACTTTCCTACTACCTACATTCCTATATTGTTTTTTTAAATTTTATGTAACCTTCGTTATCTAGAAGTTGTACTGGCTACTAGTCTAGTTGTATGTATACAGGGTGTTAGAAATTTGACTGCCTTAACTTTAACAGACGATAGAACACATTAAAATAAACAAAAAACCTAAACTCAACCATTTCCGAGAAAAAAATTATCAAAATCACCAAATTGATGTACAAAAGTTCGATTAATTAAGGAATATTGACATAACTGTGTGCATAGAATATAATGTTTATCGCTTTTTTGAAAAAAATTATTATTATTGTAATAAATTTAAAATTCGATAAAATTCATATCGAGCAATGAGACAACGGCGCGGCGGATAACACGAGGTACTAAGCTGTCCAGCATTACGCAATTCAGTTGGTATTTGGATTCGACCGTGTCGGAGTGTTTTTTGCGTACCACTATTTTCTTTTTTTTGAGGCGTTTTCCAGCGAGTGCGCGAAAATTGGATTCGAAGATGTAGTGTGTGCATCGAAAATGGTGATGGAAATTTTGAGCATATGTTATAATTTGTTTTGCACTTGTGCGTTTTACAAAATCGATACAATTTATTTTATTTATTTAAAAACTGGAAAACAATTCTCTTGAAATTTACTAAATGTTGCGCGTGCACACGTGGTGTGCATCAGCTGTGTAGCATTAAGTTAAGCGCTGTTGTCACGTTGTGATGGAACTCCCCAATATTCTCGTTGTATTTTGAAAACTGTTATACTTACGCCCCTGTAATATACAACTTTTTTGTTCATTTATAATTACTCTATCTCATGCTGAAGTAATGGCAGTCAAACTTCTTACACCCTGTATAAGGCATTCAGTTACTAATAAAATGTCACCAATATAATAAAGATTAAGGGGGAAATTCAAATATGTTGCTATTCTTCCAAGATGCAGAGTTTGTGGTTAAAAAAGTTTAGTTTAAACTATCTTCAGTTTTATTCCTATCATTTTGTTGAAAATGTTTAATTTTTGAGATACAGAAGTTAAAAAAATATTAACTATTTTCAGGTTTATCTTGGGAACTCGTTAAGCATTTTTTTTGTCTGATTTAACATGAAGGGTAATGTAGGTTTCTATCGTCAGATACAATTACATGTAAATATAAGAAGCCAGTGGTGCACAAAAATTCAACTTAGAAGTTTTTTTATAGAAAAAATAGGTGCACCTGCATGTTAAATATCACTAAAACGCGTAGCTCCTGAGAAAAAATATTTCAGTTTTCTACTGTAATAAACAGTTATGGAATCCGAATATTTGGAAATATTTAATGAAATATATTATTCCTAAATTTGCTGGTATATTTTTCATGATTTTTCAACTTTTTTTTATTTTGATATAGCAAAATGAGAGGAATACGAATATGTCATCAAAAATCAATAGTTTTTATGTGTGCAAGATTTTGTCGCTTGCATAGAAAATTTCTTGGGCAATAAATTGTTGATTATAGAGTAAAAAATTAAAAAAAAAATCTAAATGGTTATAAAAGTGTAAATATAGGTTTTTTTAGTATTTTTCATTATGACAACAAGTATCTCTAAAAAATTGTGTGCCCATTCTAAACCTTAATTTAATCTCACGGTACGCGTTAAACTTTAATGAATTTTCTTAATTAACAATCCTGTCAATCGAAAAGGGTAGAATTGACATTAGGTTTTTACTATTTGTTCACAATATTTTTAAATATTTACTTATTTTAAAAATTGCTCAAAATATACATATGATTTTCTACTATTTTTCGCCCATTGTTAATGCAAAATTCAACTTTTTTGATACGCAGTTGTTGTAACTATATAGAAAAAGGTCAAATAAGCAAAAAATAATGAATCACTTTTTTATTTAGGGCATACTTTCAATGTTACAGGAAAAATATGTCGAAAAACGAGTCATTCTCCGTTCTTTTTCTATGTTTGTTGTTCCCCTGATTTTAGCAATGGTTTTTTGGAATAGGCAAACTCGGATTCTTATTCTACATAATATTTTTGATTTTTCTGTACAACAAAATAGATGACTTCAAACACAAACGCCAAAATCTACTTTTACTCCTCTACCGCCTGGACCATAACTGAACAGTTCAAAACGCGAGTCAGCCTTGAAGGTCACCGGCCCCCGCTCCAGCTCTGTTAGACTCTGCACGTGCACTAAGCTAGTTATTACCATTAATTTATCGTTAGTATATTGGTCGGCAATATTAGTACGCTTATTCGCACTTATTGATACACATCATAATTAATTACACTGTTTTCACAAAAATTAAAAAAAAAACTCAATTTTTCTGTTTCCCGATAAAAAATGGATAAAAGAAGCAGACGACACGCCATATACCACCTTCATATTCACCTTTTTTATGCAGTATGTAACTCGTGACGATTCCAGAAGTTTTCAATAAGTTTTATTAAATTTGACTACAATTATTAACTTTTAGCGCCGTTTTGCAGTTTGCACGATTTGATTATTGATAAAAATTTGCTAAGAAAATGTTTAATTACCTCCAAATACTCGACTGTCTACCACAGATTACTGCAATAGAAAATTAAAATTCCGTTTTATCACAAACTATACATTTTGGCGATATGCAACAAGTGTACCTTTAAGAAAATTTTAAATTTATCATTACTTATTTCTACTTTTCTCGTATTGACATGAAATTGTACCATATGTTGGAGATCCGCATTCCGAGATAAGTGTAAAAATAGGGTGGCTGATATACAGGGTGTTAGTAAATAAGTGCGACAAATTTCAGGGGGTGATTCTACATGAGAAAATAATGTCAGTTTGCTTATAAACGTATGTCCGCAAATGATTCGTTTTCCGACATACGGGGTGTCAAAGTTTTTCTTAAAAACTGACGATTTAATTTATTGCTCTGAAACCGGTCGAGATGTGCAAATGAAATTTGGTGGGTTTTAAGAGGTAGTTATTGCGCATTTTTTGACACGCAATTAAGAATTTTATGTTCATCATTGGCGCGCGTACGGGTAATAATCTCAATTTTTTTAAAGAAAAAAATGGTACGCCACTGAGATATTACAAATTAAAAATCATTTTTGAATTCCTCGTTCAATTTGTGACAAAAAATCTCTCTTGCCTTTTCTTCGTATGGGGCGCCGTTTTGATGCAAAAAAATAAAACATCTTAACGCGTATTTTTTATTTCTTTAATACATTATCAAGAACTATCTAATACAATAACATTAAACCAGAACAATAACAGAAAATAACACTAATAAAATTTTGAAAAGGCGCAAAGCTACAACAAATGTTCAAAATGACCTCCCTCAGACGTGACACAAGATTCAACTCTTCGCCTCATTGATTGTCGTATTCGCGCAAATATTCCTGGTATATTTCTTATTGTCTCACAGCCGACTATAATTCGATTCCTCAGGTCATCAACATTTTCAACGGGAGTGGAATAAACTAATGACTTAAGAAAACCCCAAATGCAAAAATCAAGAGGATTTAAATCCGGCGATCGAGCAGGCCAATGTTCCGTACCTCCCCTACCTATCCAACGATTTGGATATACTGTGTCTAAGTGATTACGTACATTAATGCTAAAATGGGCTGGTGCACCATCATGCATGTACCATAGGTGTTGTCTCAGCTGTAGAGGAATTTCTTCAAGAAGAACAGGTAACTCTTCCTGTAGGAAATTAAGATAAGATTCGCCTGTTAGTCGTTGTGGGAGGAAATATGGACCGATTAAATGATCATCAATTACCCCAAGCCATACATTTACGGAAAACTGATGCTGAAAATGAGCTTCAAAGATTCCATGGGGGTTTTCCTCAGCCCATAAGTGATTGTTATGGAAATTTCGTATACACTGTCGTCCAAAAGTAGCCTCGTCAGTAAACAAAACGGCATTTAAAAAATTAGGAATTTGAGCGATTTGATGATTAATCCATTGGCAAAAAAATAGGCGCGGAAAAAAGTCTCTAGGTAGTAGAGCTTGCACACGTTCAATATGAAACGGATACAATTGCTGTTCTTTAAGAATTTTAAATACAGTGAAGTTGCTTACATTCAATATGTTGGCAATTTTTCGAGTACTTGTTTCAGGTGACTCCGCAATTAACTCGAGAACTGCTTCTTCTAGTTGCACAGTTCGTACTTCTCGAGGGCGCCCACAGTCAACCGTTTGTTTCTTAAATGAACCATTTTCGCGCAAACGTTGATGAAGACGAGCAAATATTGTGTGATGAGGTACCCTACGTCCTGGATACAACTCAGCATACAATCGTCGAGCTTGCCGACCATTTCCATTACTTCGACCATAGACAAAATGCATGTCTGACAATTCCGCATTTGTAAAATTTTCCATTCTTTTCGATAAAAGAAAAATTAATTACTTATTAACACTAATGTTATAGCAAACTAAAAGCTTAATAAATTAATAATGACGAAACGCTAATTTGACATTTCTTAAAAATATTCGTATTTAACAGACAAATGTTGACAGTAGCCTACTAGGTA